CATAAGTGTCTAGATAGAATTACCAACAGAATAAACAAAGAAAGAAAGGATGATAGTACAAAAGAATGAAAAAGAAAAAGTCGAGCTAACATTAGAAAGAATAAAAGAGACAACCAAAGGAAGAATAAGAGTGAGAATGAAAAAGAAAAGAAAGAAAGAAAGAGAGAGAGTAAAAAAGAAGGAAAGAGAGAACAGTCTAAATGACAGAAGTAAGAATAAAAAAGGACGAAAGCAATAAAGAAAAAGAAATAAAGAAAAGAAAAAGAAAAAAGTAAAAAGAAAAAGAAAGAAAGAAAAAAATTATGACAGCACAAAAGAAGGAAAGAGGGGCAATGCCGAAATAACATTAGAAAGAATAAAATAAAAAAAAAACTATAGAAGAATAAGAGAAAGCATGAAGAAAGAAAGAGAGAAGGAAAGAAAGAAAGAAACGATGAGACAAAGAAACAAAGATGTCAATATGTGCAGGAAATAGATGCTAGGTCAAAAGAACGGTAGAAAGAAGAAAAACTCAAGGAAAAATGAGAGAGAGAGATCGAAAAAAAAGAAGAAAAGAACGAAAGAATTGACAAAAAAGACGATGAAAAACTACGAGAAAGAGAAGATGAAAAGACGAAGAGAAACGCACGAAAGAAAAAAGGATGAAGAGCAAACGAAAGAAAGTGAAATAAATAGATAAAGAAAGAAACAAACAAACAAAGAAAGTATCGGAAAAAGAAGACATGAAATAAAGAATGAGGGAAATAAAGAAAGAAAGAAAGAAAGAAAGAAAGTATCGGAAGAAGAAAGAAAGAAAGAAAGAAAGAAAGAAAGAAAAAGAAACATATGAAATAAAGAATGAGGGGAAAAGAAAAAAGAAATGAAAGAAAGAAAGAAAGAAAGAAAGAAAGAAAGAATCGGAAAAAGAAGACATGAAATAAAGAATGAGGGAAAGAAAGAAAAGAAAGAAAGAAAGAAAGAAAGAAAGAAAGAAAGAAAGAAAGAAAGAAAGTATCGGAAGAAGAAAGAAAAGAAAAAAAAAGAAAGAAAGAAAGAAAGAATCGGAAAAAGAAGACATGGAAATAAAGAATGAGGGAAAGAAAAGAAAGAAAGAAAGAAAGAAAGAAAGAAAGAAAGAAAGAAAAAAGAAAGAAAGAAAGTATCGGAAGAAGAAAGAAAGAAAGAAAGAAAGAAAGAATCGGAAAAAGAAGACATGAAATAAAGAAAGAAGGAAAGAAAGAAAGAAAGAAAGAAAGAAAGAAAGAAAGAAAGAAAGAAAGAAAGAAAGAAAGAATCGGAAAAAGAAGACATGAAATAAAGAATGAGGGAAATAAAGAAAGAAAGAAAGAAAGAAAGAAAGTATCGGAAGAAGAAAGAAAGAAAGAAAGTATCGGAAGAAGAAAGAAAGAAAGAAAGAAAGAAAGAAAGAAAGAAAAAGAAAGAAAAAAAAAGAAAGAAAGAATCGGAAAAAGAAGACATGAAATAAAGAATGAGGGAAATAAAGAAAGAAAGAAAGAAAGAAAGTATAGGAAGAAGAAAGAAAGAAAGAAAGAAAGAAAGAAAGAAAGAAAGAAAGAAAGAATCGGAAAAAGAAGACATGAAATAAAGAATGAGGGAAATAATGAAAGAAAGAAAGAAAGTATCGGAAGAAGAAAGAAAGAAAGAAAGAAAGAAAGAAAGAAAGAAAGAAAGAAAAAAGAAAAAAGAAAGAAAGAAAAAGAAAACGAAAGAATCGGAAAAAAGAACAAAATGAAAGAAAGAATAAAAATGGCTTAGAGAAAAAAGGACGAACGAAGGAAAGTGCAAAAGAAAGGACATTGAAGGCACGTACGAAAAAAAAAAAGAAGAGAAAGACAGAAAGAGATGAACGAACGAACTAACCTGCAAACGAAAGAATAAGTGAAAGAAAGAATGAATGAAAAAGTAAATGAACGAGAGAACGAAAGAGAGACTGAAATATGTGCCACCAATAAGACGTAGGTCGGTCGGCTGTGACGCAATTTTTTTTTCCTTTTTTTTTTTTAATTCAAGTACGGCTGCACCAAATGAACAGCAGACATAGTGATCGCCTATCACCAGAGAAAGAGAAGGTGGTAAGAACTCAGCTGAGGAGCGCGCGCACACACACACACACACACACGCAGTCACACAGGTAAGTAAATGCTCTCTCTCTCTCTCTCTCTCTCTCTCTCTCTCTCTCATACACACACACACACACACACACACACACACACACACACACACACACACACACGAACAGATGAATTCGTGCAAAGAAAAATCCACGAAAATCAGCCGACGATTATAAGATATGACGAGGTTCTGGTTGATTGTAAACAACGCCAACACATTTGGTTAATTTTTAAAAACATTTAGAAGAGGATAAAAAAAAAAATAAAGAAAGAAAGAGGCACGGTGTGAGATGAAGGGCGGGGTGCGACTTAACATTTAGCTAAGTCTGAAAAACATTCAAGTGAAAGACAACTAGTGAAGATCAATATCTCCGGCAAAGAGTTTAAATGTACATACTGTTCTGATCAATAACTAATAATTCCACATGCACAGAACCGAACCGAGGCTTCGATCCTCACGACCGACACCTATCCGTTCCTCGGGTTTCTCTTCTAATGAAATAACAAAGAAATCAAAGAGGACTGTTAAAAATCAACATTCGACTGATGTAGGTCACACAAGATATAATGAACGTTGGCGATCATGGCTCTCCACAACGTCCTATCCTCTTGTAGCCCTTTTGTAGCGTTTATCCCTTTGCCAAACCACCCGTCCTCCCTTCTGCCATCTGTTGGCACAAGTCCGTCAGGTAAGTGGCCCGTTGCCTTCCAATGTGCCTTTTCCTCACGATATATCCTGTGAGTGTCAAATTCTTCAAACCCTTCTTCCTCAATATATGTCCAAGAAATCTAAGCTGTCTTTTACTGATTCTGGTTATTCTGTTGTTTCTTGTTTAGGACGGAAATTCTAATTACTATTTACTTATTTTTCATTTTTTTTCTTAATACGAGTAGATAGGTTTGCCTTGTTTCCTGTTTATAACTGGACTTCCGGTTCCTTGTAATGTCTGCTGCAACTCTATACATTTTACGTCTCTGCCTAAACTCTAAAATTATATTTGCCATTTTTTTCGGCTCGGATTGAGGAATCGGAGAGCCGAGTTCGAATTCCAGTCGAATCCAATACTTTGGAAAAGGTATGATTCCTCTTCTTCTCCCCACCCCCACCCCCAGCTATGGGTAAATAGCACAACAGACCTGGTTCT